GCAGAGAGGAAGAACATAGTGGTCTACCAACTTTTATTGAGCTACTCAATCTTACAGACATAAGACATTTAAACCTACCTCTTCCCTGCGTGCATCAACTCAAAAGCCTCATTAATTCTGTCAAAAGGGAGAGTGTGAGTCACGAATTCATCAACCTTGATCTTTTTTGACATATATTCAGTCACCAGCTTTGGTACACTCTCTACACTCTTCCAACCTGAAAAAAAAAATTTATATTTTTTAATTGACTAAATTCAAAGCCACAGAAGGACAGAGGTTGGACACAAAATCTATCAACCCTACCCCCAATAGTATGAGTCATTAAAACTCAGTTTCCTTGGTGAGAGAGAGATCCTGGGATCATGTTATAATATCCATACCTATCTGGCTGTAGAATAGCACTGTAGTAAAGAATGCAAGAGTACAGCTGAAATCAGTCAAAATGGAGGGCTTAATTGTAGTACTTTTCACTGCAGGGATCTGCATTCAATATCTAGCTGAGATTAGGGATGGTTAGTGTGTATGTTTACACATGATTAACCGATAAGCCTGGGCTCATCAGTTAATCTTAATGATTATATGCACTGCTCCCTTGCTGCCTCTGTATTGGAGTCAGGAGCCAGTGCCCATGGGGAGCTGGCTGCCCACTACCCGCTCCTTCCCATAGAGGTAGCGCTGGAGGGTAGGCAAGAACTGGTGGGGAGACGCTGGACCCTCCCCACATGCTATTGCCTCTGACAGAGGCAGCAGCGTGAGAGGGGCAGGCAGGAGAGGGTACATGTGTGAAGCCAACTTTCAAACCGGCTCCCTGCACATACCGGCTCCCATGGAGCTGCCTCTCTATCAGAAACAGCAGCATGTGGGGTGGGCAGGCAGCTCCACGGGCACATACCAGCTCCTACCTCCCCCCACCTCTGCTGCCTCTTTGGGAGGCTGTGGCGGGGGAAGAGGGGAGGGCAGCCAGCTCACTGAGAGCACCAGCTCTGGCCTGCCCCGCCCTGCATGTAAACGTGTACATGTTAAAAATTTCAGTGGTTACACATTTACACAAATACATGTCTTTTAAAATCCCTAGCGGAGATCACCTCACAAAACTGGCTCTGTCTATTCTTCCTGTTCTACATTTGTGTATTTTCTAACCAGACCGCAGCACCGGTTTGAGTTGCATGTAAGAGAGTTGCATAAAAGTGTTATCAATTTTGGACACTTTGTAAAGATTCCAGCAGCTTTTCATGCCTGAATTATGTCCACAAAGAGGTTAGATAATAAATTCAGTGAAAGATGACAAGTTTCTGTTCTGACAGGTAAGAGGTCAACTATGCTTCCTGTATTTTAAACAGTTTCTTCATAAAGCCTCCCGTTTTACTGTCTAAACCCATTCCCTCCTCACCTCAAACTACGTATCCTCACAACTGAGGACAATGCTTTCATTTTCTCAGTGACTGAAAAGTGCAGAGTTACTTATACAAACCCATTTACATTATTCCCTGTGTCCCAGTGAACACCTCTCCTTACTATTGCTCAAGTTTTCAAAAGTAATAATTTGGCACTTCAACCACAGACCTATACAGAAGAAGTACTCCCATTATGGCTACTTTTTGCATTTTAAATTCATATATGTGCAGCAGAAGGATGATAATTCACAGCTTGTCTATGGGGACAGTTATTTATAAAAGGTTATATTTGAAAAGCCAACATAACAATGTCTTGATAGGAAGAAGTTTACTAGAGAGGAAGACAGTATTTTCACCCTCTTTTCCTAGATAAGAGAGCATGAGTGTACCAGAAAGTTACCTCCAAAGGCAGTCCCTTTCCATGTGCGACCCGTTACTAGTTGGAAGGGCCGGGTAGCGATCTCCTGACCAGCAGCTGCTACTCCAACTATCACACTGACTCCCCAGCCTTTGTGACAGGCTTCCAAGGCAGCCCTCTTCAGACAGAAAGAACAAAGCAAATAGCTGGTTAGAAATAAAGTTTCAGCACAGATTCCTTGTGACTTCATCTTTCTTCCCCTATGACAAACTTAATAGCTTAGGGTATGGCTACACAGTGGAGTTATTTCAGAATAACTGATGATATAACATAGTACGCATCTACACTACAAGCCTTTATTTCGAAATAATGTCAAGCTGGAGGACTTCTTACTCTGACTCTTGTAACCCTCATTTCACGAGGAGTAAAGGAAGTCGAAGGAAGAGTGTTCTTCGACTTCCCACTGTGCAGACAACGCCAAAAGCCGAATTAAGCTATTTCAACTTAAGCTACGCAATTGACATAGGTGAAGTTGTGTTGCTTAAATTGACTTTAGCCCTGCTGTGTAGACCTACCCTTAATTCCAATATTGCTAGGAAATAATGCTAATTCTTTCAATAATAGAATAGACCAATCCAGCACCCATTGAAATAAACAAACTCCATTTAACTCCTGGTAAAAGATAGGAATGCACTGTTAAAAATAATTTGCAGGGCAAGGTATTAATAGTGCTCCTTTTCACCAAGGAAGTGTCTTGAACTAATTAAATTATCAGACTAATTCAGGTAGCTGAGTTAGTCTGTACAGAATAAACTTAAACTACAAATAGTCTGGTGGCACTTTAAAGACTAACAAAACATGTAGATGGTATCATGAGCTTTCATGGGCACAGCCCAGCACCATCTATGTGTTTTGTTAGTCTTTAAAGTGCTACCAGACTATTTTTTGTTTTTTAAGTTTTATTAAATTATGTCCATTTTTTCTTAACTATGTACATCACCTCTGACATTTACTCTCAATGTTTAAAAAATGGTGAAATCTGTGGGGCTAGATAACATCAATATATATAACAGATGCTTTTCAGCCCTAACAGAGTTTGCATAACACATTTTCTTCCATAACTATATTTTAGAACATAAAGGAGCTATTCTTCACCTAAGCGGTAAAGTTATTTCTTCATTTTATAATCCGGATGGGTTGAAATAGGGCTGCCAACTTTCTAATTGCACAAAACTGAACACCCTTCCCCTTACCTTACCCCACCCCTGCACTGGGGCCCTGCCCCCACTCAGCTCATCCTCTGTCACTTGCTCTCCCCCACCCTCACTCATTTTCACTGGACTGGGGTTGGGGTGCAGGAGAGAATGAGGATTCCAGCTGGAGGTATGGGCTTTGGAGTGGGTCCATGGTTGAGGTGTGGGAGGGAGAGGGGCTTAGGGCTGGGGGGTTGAAGTACCAGAAGGAATTTAGGGGCCTGGGCTGGCTAGGTGGTGCTTATCCTTGGGTAGGTCCCAACTGGTGGCACAATGGGGCTTTGCCCGGACTCTGTGTGATTCCCAGAAGCTGCCAAGTGGAGGAGCTAGGGGGACTCTGTGCAATGCTGAAGCCTGCAGGTGTTACCCCTGCCCGGGGTGGCAGCCGTGCCGAGGGCACTTCCTAACCCTTCCACCTGTGAGTTGAACATGCCAGCTGCTTCCAAGAGCCACACAAAGCAGCCAGGACAGGCAGCCTGTTTTAACTCTGGCTCACCACCGATTGAGTTTCTATCTGCCCTGTCCGCAGTGGAGACTAGAGCCACTATCACTTTTTGACTGGGTGTTCCAAAAAAATACCAAACCAGACACCTAGCAACTCTTGTTGAAATAAACCCTTTTAAGCTACTGTGAAAGAACTACCAAGCTCCTCTCAATAAAAACTGAAGTTGATAAACTGTTCCCTGGTAAAGGTCCTTGTCTTTCTTTTAAGGTAAGTAACTGTCCCAAGTCACAGTCAGATTTCTCTTCCCTGTCAGTACTGCCACGTATACACTTACCATAACACCAACATTCCCAATGCACTCAAAAGAGTAGTCCACACCACCCTCAGTAAGCTCCACCAGCACCTCTTGTATGGGCTTCTTAAAGTCCTGAGGGTTGATGCACTCAGTGGCTCCAAACTCCTTAGCCTTGGCAAATTTATCTTTGTTGAGATCAACTCCAATGATCCGGGAAGCTCCAGCCACTTTACAGCCCATAATAACTGCCAGCCCAACTCCTCCCAAACCAAAGATGGCACAAGTCGAACCAGGTTCCACCTAACAGAGCAAGAGAAATCAGTTCAGGAGGAAGGAAAGAAACACATCCGCCTATGGGTATGAGAAATACAGATTATTTATTATATATTAAGAAAAACAGACTAAAAATTCCCAAAAGTTGCAAATTCATTATCGCTCAGAGGTAGGGAACTATGTCAGAGATTTCGCTGGTCTATGAATTGTTTTTTGAAGTGCTCTAATGGGCTGTGCTTCTTCCAAATGCAGGGGGAGAACTTGGCACATAATAGGATGGTATAAGGGCAGAAGGAAGCAGAGCTCACTTTGCCAAAGGGGATATTTAAAACAGCTTTGCATTGTCAATATGTACAAGTCTGTCCTTACTCTAAGATAACCCCCCACCACTAGACCCTAATGTCCATCCACAAATAAATCCTTGAACATTGCAAAGTGGCTCCTCTCCACAGCCATGTGTCTCCATCAAGACAGGCTTCCTCTACCCCATTCTCCACAGAGAGCACTGGCAGGAGGAGGAACAGGGGTTTTCATCTGTATTTGATTCTGTCTGCTGAGGCTAAAGCAGGTGGAAACCCAGGTCAATATCCCTGTTTCCTACTACGTCTTGCTTCCTGTCAAATTTGGCAGTGGAGAAGGAACAAAGGGGTGAACACGTCTCCTCACCCTCTACCCAGTAGGCAGTTATTCCTCTGGTCTTACTTGCTCCTGGCCCCAACAGATTTTCATTACAGTACTTGGTCTCCAGTTCAGGGTCATTAGCCACACGATCAGCTATAGCCCATACCTTGGCAGTGTTGATGACAGCTCCATAGCCTGTTGAAATTCCACAGCCCAAAAGACAAACTTTATCCAGAGGTGCCGCAGCATCTATTTTAGCCAAAGAGATATCCGCCACAACAGTGTATTCAGAGAACGTGCTAGTCCCCATGAAGTGATAAATCTGCTTCCCTTTGCAGGTAAACCTGCTGGTACCATCTGGCATTAGTCCTTTTCCTTGGGTAACTCTTAAACACAATACAACAAATAGTATTTATTGTAGTGTCACAGAAAGTTATAGGACAAAGTCTAGTGAGCAAAGTCGTGAAAATTAACGAAGTGGTACAGTAACAGTGCATGCATGGAGATTTAGCTAATGATTACCCTTAAACACTTTGAAAATATTTAAGTAAATCTTGACTTCATGGAAGTGAGGGTACGTCTACACTACAACGTTAATTCGAACTAACTTAGTTCGAATTAGTTAATTCGAACTAAGCTAATTCGAACTAGCATGTCCACATTAAGTGGACCCTGAACCAGGCTTAAGGATGGCCGGAAGCAGTGCCGGCAGGGCATCAGAGGAGGACTTAGAGCGTGGAGATGCTGTCTCAGGCTAGCCAAGGGCTGAGCTTAAAGGGTCCCGACCCCCACCCTGGACAGACAGTTCTCAGGGGTGCCCCACTTGCAAAGCAGTCCTGGCTTGGATTGCCCGGAGTACCCACACTGGGCACATCACAGCACTCGACCATCAGACCAGCTGCACTTGCTGCAGGCTGCCATCTGGGGAGAGGGGGCAATTGGGGAGCTGCAGGAGAGCTTCCACCCCCAGAAGCCCACAGAGCCACCCCAGTCCTCCCCATCGGGGGCTCGTGCCCCATTCCTCCCTCACCTCCTTCCACTTACCCTTCCCTAACCCCTCTTCTTGATGTACAAAATAAAGGACAATTGTGTTCAAAAATGGAATCTGTCTTTATTGAACAAAACTGGAGGAGACT